AGGGAAAATATAAGCCCTTCCTTCTTGAAAAGGGTCTTGGATCATGTCTTTAAGAGCTCAGTGCTACTTGTATCTTCCTCTGTGGCACCAGGTTTTGATCTAATCCTCCTCCCCTCTCAGCACATGTTTTTCATAATAAAACATTGCTTACTTTAACTGAAGGACTGAAAATCTCAACTGACAGTTGTTTGCTTTGAAACTCTTCCTAGGTCTGTACTGCTTGGCCCACCACAGGCTTTCCAGGTGGGAAAGTTGGGCTGAATGAAACCACACAGAAGAACCTGAAGGTAAATCCAGGTGATGCCGTCACTGTGCAGCCTGTAACTGGTGCAGTCATCCAGGCAGAGGAAGTCGATGTAAAGTTGAGGTATGCAACTTGTTATAACCTAGTGACCTACCCTGAGGTGTCTGCTTTGCACTGCAGACTCTTGTTAGAAGATGCAGTTTTTCTCTCTTACTTTGATAGAATTAGTGCCCAAAGTCAAACATGTGTGGATGTTTGTAGGATTAAGACTGAAGCTTAGTAACTAGTGACCAACTGCTGCTAACTGCTGCCTTCTCTGTGGGCAGAGGAGTGGCTCAGCTGTTGTACAAAATCTCAGCTGAGGAATGGTGCTTTTGTGGAGAGTATAATGACACTAAGCTCGTTAGTCTTAAGAGATTCTTCATTTTATGTTAAATAAATGAAAATTAATTTCAACACCTCCTGAAGAAGAGGTCAAGCTGCCTGCGTTGTGTTTGCATTAGGCAAGGGTGTGTAACTGCATGATCAAGGCAGGTTCCTTACCCTTGTAAGTCGCTTGTAAAGGGTGATCTCTATGTGTAGAGTTGATGTTGGGTTAGAAGGAGCCCATGTTGCTGTTGTTAGGAATTATACTGCAAACTGCTATCTGAGAAGCTCTTGGTGAAAAGTCCTGTTGTGGTTAGGAGAATTACTGGCTGGCAGGTTGGGGAGAGTGCAGTGGTTATTTTTTTTTTTATTTTTAACCACTTCCTTTCAAAACTTCACCTTTGTATACGCATGGTTTTGTGCTCCACTTTCATTTACTGGAATTTTTTGTAGGATTGGAAACTCTCAGAGGTATGTTTTTGCTTTTTTCATTGAGATTCACCCAAAAAAGGGAGCAAAAGGTGCGAATCACAGTTGTCTTGAAATCATGAAAGCTTTGCAAAATTAGCAGTTTACTGATCTGCTAAATGACTTCTTATATTTGTCATTCTCGTAACATTCCACAGAGTCAACAGTTGGGTTGATGCAGAGCCTGATTATAGTTATTTCCTAAATCAAGTTATTTTACAGTGTACTTTTGAAAGTGGCCCAACACTTCAGTTTCTATGAGTTAACTTAATTTCCCTGTCAAACCTCTGCTTTCAAATATGGTGTTGTCATTGTCCATTTTAAGGGGGACATGCTGTTTTCTATCCATACTGATACTCAGAAATGTGGGTGAGGCAGGCTTGCTTTTTGTCAGTAATATAACCAGTTTAGCTTTAATGATGACTTTACTGGTTAACTTGGCTGCGTTGACTTCCTGGTGGCAGCTTGGTTTGCCCTCCATGCCTCTCTTCTCAACAGAAAATGAAAAAAAAAAAAAAAGGTATCTTTATGGCCTTTTGTTATGGCTAATTTAATCCTATAGAAAGTTTTGTTATTATTACATACTGTTTGGTTACAGAGGTGGTTGAAAGCACTCAGTTCATTAAAAATCCAACCCCACATTAAATCAGATAATTACACCTAAGCTATTAATATGTGTTTTTTCTTTAAAGCTGTGACTTTTACTGAAATACACTCTAAGGATGAGGTCAGAGGAATTGTATGTATCTTCTGAAATACTTAATGATTATTGTAATGTTTTTAGAAACTGTTCCACAGCCAGAGTTTTACTTCTCAGCCAGTCAGGAGTCAGGCTCCTAGGACTGTTATGTGTATGTACCACCAGATTAAAGGTCATATAAATGACTGTTTTGCTAGAATTACTCTAGAAGAGAAAATGTGAAAACCATACTTGGTCTGTTAATTTACTAAAAATCATAGTGCCATCCTATCATGTAAGAATATGAATTATTAAAAGAATAAATGGAAATCCTATTGTTTGAATACTGCCTAGGCTTCTAGATACTTCACAGGTGTAGTTCATTTTCTGCAAATTAATACTTCAGGGGAGTTGCTTGCATGTGTAATTTAGCTTTTTCTTCCCCCACCTCAGACCCCAACAACATATTTGAGTATATATTTACTTGCCAGCAACGGCTATGATATTTTGAGAGCTCTCCTCTAAATTAGCATAACACCCTTTTTTCCCTCAAGTTGCTGTCTTCATCAGGAGAATGGAGAAATGAGTTTTTATTTCTAGGTTTAGAGCTCCCCCCGATGATCAGACTTTTATTTGCAGCAGCTGTGTCTGCTTTAAATGCTTTTGGTGCTGCAGCTGCTGTTCAGCTCTTGGTGTAATGCTTTTCATTGCACAGGTCAGAGTGCTTACAAAGGTTGTAGATGTTTGTTTGCAAAATGGATGTAGTGAAACCTTCATTCTGTTGTGAAAACAGAAGGGCTGATGTGTGAGACTCATACAGGTTGGCTGAGGGGGATAAATCCTGAGGAATTAAAAAAGGTGGTTTTATTAAAATGTCAAGCCAGAAATGAAACAGAAGAAAGATTGTACGGATAAACCATCCCTGAAAAATGATTGAATTGCCACAGCCTTACACGTTGCAGTGTATCTGAGGAGCAGGGAGGGTTAGTGATGTCTCTACTCTCTGTTTAGTATGAACACCAGAGAAAGACATTCATATAAAACACCTTTTACGTTTCATTTGCTTTGGGCTAAGAGCATGTGTGTTCAGTTGTGTGTTAAATCACAGTGATGAGATGGTGTTTGAGAAAGCATCGTGAGCCTGGCCAGGGCTAGTGAGGGAAGGGACTTAAGGCTTATCTATTGAGTCACTTGAACTCGATTAAATAAAAGGCTGGAAAATGCATTGTGGGGAGAACTTGTGCTGTTTTGGTAGCGGGTGTGCAGTGCTGAAGGCATGCACATTGTTACAAGTGCTCAAGGCGCTCGTTCAGTCAGTGGAAGATGTGTATGTGTGCTTGCAGGGCTGAAAATGACCTACTTTAGCTCTAAGTTTTTCAATTCAGTAAATGTAGCAATGGCCATTCTGCCTGGTGAGATGAGAAGCATGCATTCCATATTTGTAATCTTAACAAATTATAAATATAACTTATGATACTGTTTATTACAGCATTTTGTATGGAAAAAAATAACCCCAAATTGAGGATTTACACTGCTTTTGTTACTACTTTTGCGTCTAATATCTTTAGAGTTAAGATGTTATGATCTGAAGACTGTAAAGTGCTCATCCATCTTTTCTGTTTGTGGGGTTAAATCATATACTGTAAGATAGGTGGCATTCATCATACTGGTGCCTTAGTGGTGTGGACTCTTGGTTTTGAAGTAGTTACTGCTTGGAAAAATTTTTTTTTTTCTTTCTTTTTTTTTTTCTTCCTACCACAGGGACAAAGATGCCATCGTTAATGCTGAGGAAATGTCTGCCTGTCTACTGAGAAACCTAGGTATTAAGTTTTACTGCTTCTCTTTTGACTGTTCTAAGTTTGATAGTAGATCATCAAGTTTTGGATAGAAAATAGTTTCTTCTTATGTTCTTAATCAAAGGCTTATGGCAAAATAGAGGATGTTATTCTGCTCATGCTTCTTTTAGGGATCTGTTTTTTTCAGGCTAAATAATTTTGCCATGCTATAAATATCTAATTTGTCTTAATCCTGGTTCCATTCCTTGTGCCCATTATACATATTGCTGGTTCAAGTTACGGTTGTTTATCAGCCAGGAGGCCAGCAGCGACAGCTAGTGTGATGCACTTCAGAATTTCCTTGCACTGTGAAGACAAGTGCAATACTACACGTTAAAGACGGGATAAGGGATCAGTATTAATGTGAAATCTCATACTCTGACTCTCTTTTTATGTTGGTGGTAAATAAGCAAAATTGCTGTTTGTTGTGTGGTAGGTGTGTATAAGTAAGGGAAAAAACCAAGGCAAGTTATTCAAGGTGGTGCTACTCAAAGCACTCACTACAAATTGTTGTATTCAAAGAGAATCTTCTGGTTTAGGAATTAACTGTATAGCTATGCTAAGAAGCAGGAAACATTAACTGTATTCCAAATTCATGAGTTTGGCTGGAAATAACGTATCTTGTTTTACATATTTGCCTCTGTTTTTTAGTGCCTGTAGGGTGCATTCAGATCACATTTCCTAATTTTTATTTGTCAACACAAAGGCTAAAACCTTACCTTTTTTTAGGCCAAGAGTCTCAAAGAAGGTGGGCTAAACATGAAATACTGTGAACCTATAAGGCACACAAATACAAAATCTTTACTTCTTACAGTATGAATTCCATAATCTCCCTTTGTATGCTGTATGAAATTTAACAACCTCAAATTAATGATGGGCTTAGTATGAGAGATTTAATGATACTGACAAATCTTTATCCAGTAGTCTGTTTGTGTACAAAAGGATCATTTAAATTACCTGAATTTACCTGGAAATTACCTAACCTTTTGTTATGGTAATTTATGGCACTCTTTAGAGTTCCTGATAAAGAATTAATCTGATACAAGAATGTCTGAATATTATTGCTGCCAAAGTAAATTGAAATTTCTTCTTCTTTGTCTTGTTTTTCCTTTTTTTAATCTTCTCATAGATGGGAAAATAGTTTTACCAGGAAACCTCTTGGCTTTCAGTTTCTATGGCAAGCTTTGTAACATGGTGGTGATGAAAGTGAAAGGAACTGATGGTGCAGAGCTGACTGCCCAGGAGAGTGCTGTTTCCAGTGATATGCATGAGCCAGACCTTGAAAGATCTGATTTGGAGATGAGTACGTTAGATTTGTCCTTACAGCTTGGCAAGATGGACATTGATGATAATCCAGAGGTTGCACCTATGAGCACACCAAGCAAACCCATGGATCCAGGTTCACCAGTTACACCCAGTTCTGCTGTGGCATCCAGTGGTCAAGACTCTGATCAAGGAGATAAAACCTGCAGCGAGGGAAATGGTGCAGACCTCAGCAAGGATTTGGAGTTGGCTGGGAAAGGAGGTAGTGAGAGACTCCCACTTCCTGGCAAAACTGGAGCAATAAGCAGTACAGACATTTTTTATTTCATTTCTTCCAGAACTAGAATCAATTTTATTGAAACAAGGACCAATGAAGCAGAAGATGGTGATTGTGAATCCCGAGTCACCTATGATATGATAGGAGGTTTAAGCAGCCAGCTCAGAACCATTAGAGAAACAATTGAGCTGCCCTTGAAGCAAGCTGAACTGTTCAAGAGTTACGGTATGATGCCTGAGAGTTGGCTTTCTTCATTTGATATTAGTTTTTTTTCTTTAACATTACTTTTTTGTTTTTTATCAAGTTATTCCAGGAATATGCACTGAATTTCATATAACACTGATCTGGTATATTTGTGTGTTCAAACAATGTCAAATGGTTTTATAATTACACTGTACAAATACTATGAAGATGTTATGATTAGCTTGCATGGAAAGTAATGGAGTAGGAAAGAAATACATGTCTCTAAGAAAATTCACATATGCCTAAGTAGAACTTACAGCAAATAGGAAAGACTTCTATACTTGGGCATTTGAAAGGTGTGGATGTTTGTGTTCTCATAAGATTTTAATTTGTTTTGGTAGAGTCAACTAATTATATTTTTTTAAGTTGAGAAAAACTCAACCAGATTAATTCTTCTGCTGTTTTTATCCCTGCGTATTGTAGGGTTCCTGCAATATTTTAAGGAAGTGTTTGAGGCTCTTTACTCAAACTGCTCAGTGTGTTCAGTATGGAATTACAGCGTGGAAAAACTAACACGATTACTGTTGCCATATATAAAGTTGTATCTAACATATATATGAGGATTTTTGTGACCAAGATATAACCCCGTACTGTGCGTTTATCCCAAATGGATATGTACACAAAGCAGGCATGGCTGCTCGTTGTGCTTGCCTAGATGTACATCACTGTGAGACAGGACTCTTACCTGTAAATATTTCTTTAATATCATGTCTTCGAGGCTTTTTGTTTCTCTGCCTTACCTCTTCCCACACATGTGCTTTAGAGAGGAGGTGATTTCAGTGATCACTGAGACAATTTCCATAAGACAACAGGTGTGTGTTGTTTGGGCGTGATTAACAGGTGTCAGTGGGGTGGTATGGTCCTCATCCACTTGTGATCCAGCTCAATTTGCTGACCTCCAGCCTCAGCATCACTGCATGGTTTTGTGTTAGCAGAAAGGTTGCTTCAGCATCAGCGTTCTTCCTACTTAGTTCCAAAAGTGCTTGATCGGATTCTCTCCTAATTACATGAGAGATGATGTTTCCTCACAAGTTACTGCTTCCTTGTCTGCTTGTGGGGGAGCGAGGCTGTTGGTTGAGGCGAGACCTTTGGTTCAGGCGCTCTGTTTCTTGGCAGTACCAGAAACACCACACGAGGGAGCAGCACATGCTTTAATGGACTTGGGAAGTAACCTGTCTGTAAAGGCACTTTATTTCTATCTTCTATCAGTTAGCAGATTTTTTATTTCTTTTTGAGTATATTAATTCCTAAGATTAAATCTTTCTGTTCACACCAGCTGTGTTATTCTCTGTCACTACTGGGAGGTGACCTGCCTGTTGAGCATCGTTCCCTGTCTGGTATCGCAGTACCCAACTTTCTTCTTTGTACCCAGTACCTGGTTTCTTCTTTAGTCATGTTTCAGCAATGCCTTTTGTGCCAGAGTTGGTCCTTTGTTAAACATTTGTCTCTTCTTTTTGTTTCCTAATTTTTCACCTTCTGTTTTCAGTTTTGTGCCCATTTAATCTGGCTTTGCTGGTCTGAAACTTTTCTTTTTTTGGTTCTTTACCTGGGACCATAATATTACTTCATGCAGTTACCTGCAGTTTCTGTCCAGTTGTAACTGTACATAGTAGTACCTTGTTCTAGTGTCCCTGATGTTCTGTGCCTGAATGTTTCTGTCTGTTTCAGCTTTTAACAATTGCCATTAAAGAGGCAAATTCATCCTTTTGTTGTATATTTTTTATCTTTCTAAAAGTAATTTTGAATCGAGCTTCGCAAGATTTCTGAAATTTTTTTGGAGTGTTGAAGAGAAGTGTTTTTCTGATGTTGTAAATTTGTAATAATGACACTGTAAGAATCATGAATAACTTGATTAAAGTACATTCATGGGCATTAGGTACTCAGTCCAATAAGTTTTTGGAAAAAAAAAATCAAACCAAACAAACCCAAACACCACAACACATAAGGAGAATTATAGCATTAAACTACTGAAAAATACGACAATTTAAATAGTTGCTTTTTAAACAGAGTCATTGGGATTTGAAAAGTAAAAAACGCGGATATACGTCCCGTGTAGGAGTGCTCTTCCCACTGAAAGCCTATGGTTTTGTCAAAATATATCTATTAAAGAAGTTAATGGTGAGATCAAGTTGTAACTGGTAATAACTGCGTCAGTGAAATGTGCAAATGAAGGTTGTTTTCAGTCCGGTATTTATCACAAAATGGCTTTTTCTCTGTTTGTGTGCATGTGCTTGTTTAAAGGAATCCCTCCTCCTAGAGGAGTGCTCTTATATGGCCCTCCAGGTACCGGGAAGACTATGATTGCCAAAGCCATTGCAAATGAGGTTGGAGCTCACGTTACCGTTATTAATGGTCCTGAAATAATAAGCAAGTAAGTCCACCCAATTTATTTTCATTAATTCTGTAAATATATTAGCCCCAAATCTGTCCTGGCATCTGTCCATTGTGGAGAGCTGTAGATGTTGAATTAGCTATGGGCTACCTGCCCAAGAGAGTAAAAAACAAACGGGAAAGGGTTCTCCCAAGTAGGGCTTATGTTTCTTTTTGTAATAAAAGGAGTTTATTGGATTTGGCCAAGAAATTTGTGTAAGGCATGGACTAAATTAAAGAGGGGTCTAAAACTACATCTGCAATTGCGTGCTAGTTAGTTCTGCAACACAGAGCGACTCGTTAAAGCGTATTTGAATTTAAGATGACACTGCACAGATTAATGTCTCCAGGGAACTAATATTTTTTTATTCTTTAAAAATATCGATAAAATTGTTTCTAACGCAGAGGAGAGAAGCTTTTCCCTTTAGTCTTTTTCTTAGTTACAAGGTGGTTATATCTTTGCCTGTGCCCCATTTTACCTTAATTTCTTGTCCTGGTGGAAATAAAGATTATTGTAGATTCATCGGGACTTTGAAAGGGTGCGCTCTGGCTTTTTGGAACACATGAGCAGTAATTTTCCAAGTTGCCTGGAAAAGCCCAAAAAATGTTTTTTATTACAATATTTTAATTATTACAGGTTTTATGGGGAGTCTGAATCAAGATTACGTCAGATATTTGCTGAAGCTTCTTTGCGGTATGTTCTTTTGGATCATTTTATTCACGTTCACTTATTTGCGGTATTAGTTCCAGCATTAATGTTCTTAAAAGAAAAACACTTGCAAGAATCTCTGAATTGTAATTTTTTCCTGCAGTGGTTTTTAAAAGGAAATAAAATTGTTTATGTAGGGCTTAGCTAGAAGGAAAGCAGTGAAATTCTAGTATGCCTATTAAATGCTTTTGGATACTACCCTTTTTAAGGGACTGTTACAGATGGTGCCAAATCACTCGGTCTGTATCGTTAGCGTATTGTACGCTTATTTCAACAGATGGAGGCACGAGCTGGAGTTTCATCTGGATCCAAGTTTTTCTGTCTAGTTTTATCTTTGGAGGGCAATGCAGTACTGTGCTGAGACGTGGAAGCCAACTCTAAATGAGCTAGTGTTGGTGCTGGGTATATAGCGTGCCTCTGCATTAGGGTGACATTCTGCCCAAATGTCTTAGACCTGGTTAAGGCAGACTTTAGACTTCCAGATGATTGGTATTCATAACACATTAGCAAAAGACTTGTATACTGTATTTGTGGCAAGTAAAACACTGTCTTTTTACTCATGAAATCAGTGTATTTAGTGTTGAATCTTGGGGTAGAGTGTCATAGAAAAGTAGATTGGTTGGTCGTCTTAAAGGTATTAGTTGTCTAGTATAGTAGTCACTTCAGTCACCTCTTTGAGTAATGCCATATTCAAGGTTGGAACTTTCACTTGTCTAAAGGAGTAGGATGCTTGTTAGTTTTTGTAGGAACTGGATGTTTTCCGTAAACAACTTCACAGTTTTCTGCCTTGGTGTTTTAAATCTTCCTGGGCACCTTAATTTTTTTTCCTTTTTTCTTAATTTTTTTCCCCCCAGTTGCCCCTCCATTATATTTATAGATGAGTTGGATGCACTCTGTCCAAAGAGAGAAGGGGCTCAGAATGAAGTTGAAAAGAGAGTTGTTGCTTCATTGCTGACACTGATGGATGGCATTGGCTCAGTAAGTAGACTATTGAGACAATTAATGTGTATGGGGACTAGCTGAACAAAACAATTTTGCCTCTATAATGCAGCCAATTTTAGATGTGTTGTTTGGGGGAAAAGAAAATAGACTTAAGTGGGACTTTATATAGTAATCTAGTGCTTTATTGGATGCAGTAGACATATGAGGGGAATGTCTTCTGATGAATGTGAGATGAAAAGAAAGTAAATTTTCTTCCATTCACTGTGTTTCCTTTGCCTTCTCCCACTCTTGTAGTTTTGGAGATAAAACTGAAATTTTAGTGGTAGCCCATCATTGAACTAACACAGGTATTTTTAATTGCTCTGAAATAAGTCTTCAAAATACTTCTGGTGTTTATGTAGGCTGCATTATTAAAGGCAACAGCAGCTATTTCAAGATTGCCATAGCAGTATTTAGGACATAAACAAAAGCCAACTGAAGAAACAGTAAATTTAATTGACTTAAGAACATTATGGATTAAGCCCATAAAGTTTACCAGTCTCTCATCTGTTACGATTATTAGCAGGAAAGATGAAAGAAATCTGTCTAGGGTATGAAAATGAGTTTCTGCTGTTTATGTAATGTGCAAGTTTCCCATTATTTTCCTGCATGATATTTTGAGTTGCCCAGTCTGGAGTTGTGCACAGGCAGAAGATATTTTCTGATCGCAAAGGCTGATGCATATTCTTCCTGGAGAAAGCGCTTCCTTCACAAAAAGAGAATGGCCCTGCAGCAGACCTCCTAGCTGATTTTGTCTCACTCTAAAAGTGAAGAAGCAGAGCTTGAGGAAATTGGTTAGGATTTTTGACCTTGCTTTTCCTCCTGAACCTACAGGAAGCTTTATAACTTCCTGTCTCTGCTGGTTTTGATACCTTAAATAAATTGTTTCCCAACGTTGTTTATTCAAGGTCTGCTGATAACCCTTTTGTTCTTGTGCCGACTCTGCCTTTTAGCTTAAAAGCTTCTTTTTCTTTCCTTGGTGCTTACTTTCCTGGTACAGGAGAGCAGGTTCTTGGGGATTAGAGTGGGACACACTGGGCTGAAGGCATCTTGGAGTAAAATTTCTCATGTATTATCTGTATGTGTGTGCAGCCTATAGTATTACTAAATTGCAATTAGGGATAGGTTGAATGGGATCATTTGTTGAATGGGATCATCATCAAAAGTTTGCTTTGTTCCTTTAGAGCTAGCATCAGGATTTTAGTGTATGTAATAGTTGGGGAAAAGTAAGCAATAAGTATGTTTACGAGCTGTGTGAGATTTAATTGTTTTTAAAATTAATATTTTGCATTGTTTGATGCCTTCAGGAAGGCAGCGAAGGGCAACTCTTGGTACTTGGGGCCACTAATCGTCCTCATGCACTGGATGCAGCGCTGCGCAGACCTGGGCGTTTTGATAAAGAGATAGAAATTGGAATTCCTAATGCCCGAGACCGTCTGGACATACTCCAAAAGCTTCTCAAGAAAGTTCCCCATTCGCTCACAGCAGCAGAACTGGCGCAACTGGCTGATAGCACCCACGGTTATGTGGGTGCAGACTTAGCAGCCTTGTGCAAAGAAGCAGGTAAGACTTTGTCTATATTATTTAGGATCTTTCTTTATTATTAGTCTCTTCATTTTGTTTTAAAAAAAATAAAAATCCACAGTCTGTACTAACAGCTTCTAAACAACGAGATTTAATTAATTTTTGTGTCAAAGAAAACATAGCCAAGTATGGAATATGAGAAACACCAGTCTGCTTCTGGAATTAACAGATTTTAAAATCTAATGTTATGAATAATAACACTGGGGAATCCCCTGTGCCATTTCTAGCATGAGAGATAGCTGGCTGTCTCTCAGTTTAGCAATGGTTTAGTCAGTTAACTGACATATCCCTAAGATTTTTATTTTTTTTTCTACTCTAGAGTCTACCCCTTCTGTACCAAAATCCCAGTTTACTCAGGCTAGACAGCTTGTCCTGCAGGTCCTGGTGCCCAGGATGTTGAGACTGTGGGCCTGAGTGGTGTTTACTGTGGCTCGCTTCCGTATTCTGTGCCTGTATTTAATTTGCCTGCAGATGAGGAGCTTGTGATAGGGGTTACGGGACTGTATGCACCTGGGTCAGGTTGTGCAGCGGAGCTGGGAAAGCTGGAGAGCACTCCCTGAGCTGGGGGCTGGAAAATATCCCTTGGCCTTCTGTACAGGCGTAGCCCTGGAGAATTATCCACCATCAATCAGGCAGCCAGGGTTCACTGTGTTCCAGGGGATACTTAAACATGAGTTCACTTCTGTTTTCTTTGGATGAAATATTAAAAGGATGCTCTCTATCAGTTCCTACATTTTGCTAGAATGTGTCTACGCACTTCAAGTGTTGGACCTTAACTCTACCCATGAGCAGCCTTTTAAAACAGTCTAGTCAAAATAAGACTCTTCAGCTCCGCTTACGCATATTTGCTCCCTTGTAGTTGGCAAATATGTTTGCTGTATGTGCTTGTTACTTTTATTTCCTTTGGCACTGGGACAGCTTCCTCTGGCAGTGGTGCAGTGCATGGTTAATTCTTGCATCAGAATTAACTATGAAGATGACAGAAATTTTATTAGAGGTGATGGCACCTGGAACAGTAAGGTTTTTACTTGCCAGCTTACCTATTTTTAAGGGATAGTTCTCAAATGCGAAGTTGTGGACTTTCGTATGGATCAAGAAGAAAAAAAACAATACTCCGTGTCTGCACATCTTATAGTGCTCTTCTGTTGTGTTTTAAGCTCTGTTTTAAGTTAGCAAACATTCTTTTTAAAACAAATATATACAAACAACAACTAAAGAGATAAACTCACTTCTTATTTTCCTTCCTCTGTGTTTTTGGAAGCCTGTCAATCTGCTTGCGTCACAGTCCTCACATAGTAAATACTTAACTAATGTAATCTAAAATTTTCAGTGAAAAATGTTGTGGTTTCAATTCCAAACATGACCCAGCCTAGGCTTTACTTGTGCTTGCGCACATGGGTTCTGGACACTTCATAATCCAGCTGCAAATAGGTGATATTTACCCACTTCATGAGGGCCTTTTAGAAAATAAATGTTGAATGTTGTGCAAATTGAACATTACGTGCTATGTAGATCCAAAAACTTCTGGCATCTACCTGCGGCTGACTGCAGGACGCGCTGTTACCTGGGGGCTTTGCATCCAAAGCCGGTGCTGGGAATGAGGGAAGGAGGATGTCTCCTTTCTGTTCATCTTCTTTCTTAAAGTTTGAATCCATGCTGTTAAATTTCCTTGTAATTTGTTAACTTGGAGTGACCTCTACTGGGGAGAATACAGTCCAGCGCTGTTAACTCTTTGCAGCCCGCATGTATTTTTCCCTTTTAAGAGTTGCAGAAGCATGGTTCAGTCAAAGTATAATGTAAACTGAATTTGAGTTGCTCATGGTTAAGGAAAGTTCTTAGTTGGATTCTTTTTTTCTGATTAAGCGCTTGATATCTATTTTTAATATAAAATTTTCACCACCTTGTAAAAATATTACTGCTTTCACTGGAGTTAAACTTAGAAAAGACTAGCTTTTATGAGGTAATATTTGTCCTCAGCAGAGCAGGATTGTTCCATATGGCAGATTTTCCAGTGTTTTGTCTAGTCTTGTTTGTTGTTCCAAGCAATGGGCTTCTATTGCTTCACTTAAGAAACTGTGCCGTGGGCCAAGATAGCTTGCTGTCCAGGAATGCTCTCTTATACTGAGCCTAAGTTTTCCTTGTTTAGTTTTATCCCATTATTTCTATTTACATCCTTGTATAACACATTCACTCTCCCTCCTTAGTGTTTACACCCTTCAGATATCTCTAGGCTGTTCTCATGTCCCCTACCTCCTCATTCATTACTGAGCCAAACTATAAATATTTGGCTCTTTTAATCTTTCCTCATAAATAAGTCCTTCCTGCCTTCTGAGAAATTAAGTTGATTTTCTCTGAACTCCATCCAGTTTGTCAATAACCTTTTGGTAACGTAGGGCTCAGAACTGAACATAATATTTCTTATGTATTACAACATAAAGCATGATATAAACATATAGTTAAGACTGCTGGTGTGCATTTCTAAATAACCAAAATGCTTCATATTCAGGCAATATCTGAGTTAAGAGTTCTTTCACAAGTTTTAAGATTCCGTGTGCCACTTTCACACATGATGTGTGTGCAAGTAGAGGTGAAACATGGAAACTAATGTAGAAGCAGGAATTCCGAACTCAGAAATCCATGTTCAGTTTTTGGTACAAGACTATTTTTGCTTGCTAGTCCTGTTGCTGTAGTGGGAGACTCTTGAGTCCTGCTTACCCCACTTATGTCTTTAGCTACTTCATTTGTGGCTAGGAAGCCTGAAAGTTTACAAGCTAAATATCTTTATATTCTTAATACAAAGATTAGATCATTTACAAAGGACTTCTCCTTCCTTATCTTTTTTTTTTAACACATGTATAATACTGTGTATGTATTGCTGATATAAACCAAGGGAGTAGTAATTAATGTAACACAGTGAATAGAGTAATTGTGGGGCTTTGATAGACAAACCTTTCACTTTTGCATCTATAATTAGGTTTCCTAAGCTACTTAATTCTAAAAGTTTTGGTGTTCGTCTTCTATATAGTTCCAAAGGACATATGTTAATGAATAGTAAATAGATATTGTAGAGTTAAATGTATTCCAACTGTTTTCTTGGCAGAAGCTGTTTGTTCTCCAGTGCAAAAATTGCTTGGTGGTACTTCTGGGGTCAGACAGGCAAGTTCTCTCTTCTGTTCAGCAGCTCTGTGCATTTTCACGGAAGTTGGTGAGGAGTTTGAGGAGCCTTTAATGTTCAGCGTTCTTAGGCTCCTGTGTATAGGGTGTGCACAGAATTGCAGCGTTGTGTATGCTGGAATGGGCAAGGAGGGGAAAGGTGGGCAAGAAACCTGGAGAATCTGTGCAGTGTGCTCTGGACTTTTCCAGACAGGTTATTATGACCAAACACCTGTGAAATTTTAATATATAGATGGATATAAAAATCAGTTAAGGGTGTTCTTATTTGATCTGCTGAATTTTAAAAATATTAGTGTATTTTTCTTCCAATACCTCCTTTTCCTCTACTAAAGATACAGTTCTAGCTTTTCACAAAATGAACCCACAAAATTTTGTGACTTTATAGGAAAAAGCTGGGTATAATGAAGCTTACAGTATTGTTGCAAGAGCTGGGAAGTTAAAAGTAAAACTGATGTTCCTAACATGGTGAGTATGACTAGCTTAGATGCAATGCTTCCAGAATCAGTGTGCCTCATCTCCGTTCCAGGTTATGTTATCCACATGTGTAGTGACCACATTGGAGAAAGTGGGATTTGCTGTGATTCTCTACTGCCTAGCAATGTGTTTTTGATTTCCACAGTCAACTGCATGTTTTCCTATAGGTTAACAGTATGGAAATAGGTTAATATCCTATAGGTTAATAGTATGGAAAACCTGCAAAACCTACCTTGATGGGCATTGGGCCATGTTCTGTGGACATGAGCTTGCAATAGGCTCCTTGTGGCAGACTTTTGAGGACTTGAGCACCCTCTAAGGGATTCACATGCACAGAATTCTTGACCAGCAAAGAGCTTAGTTATGTGTGCAGCTGAGAAAGTCATATTCTCAGGACTGGGAGAGGTCTATTGTGTCCTGAATTATTTAGCAGACTACTTTTTAGTGTTAACAGCTGCATTCTTAATTGTTTGGTCTCAAGCTGAGGCAGTGTTTAGAAGATAGACTCTGCCATATCCTTGCATATAATGTCAGTGCTTGTATACCCCTGTGATCTTGTTTCTTCTGCTTTAATTATTTTGCCACACAGTCTTTTATTAATTCCCTAAAAACTATAATGGTTTTAATTTAACAACAAAGATAAGCACTGCACTTTTTTTGGAAAAACATATGAAATGTTAATTATGTAGCAGGGACATGAATGGTATAAACTGTACTGAATGTTAGAAGATGCTTAGCAACAAAGGTTTCCAAATATAGCAATTTATTATAAACTTATCCTTCTATGGCTGCCTGTAGCATTTCAAGAGGGTGAATATAAATATAGCTTGATTTCTTCAAGAAGTGGATTCAGTCATATTGTTTACAGAGAAAGGAAGTATTCGCTTTGTAACTCTTACAATTTATCTTGAACATCCTTGTTCATTCCACATCATTTCAGTGTGCTGATATAAAACACTTGGACTGTGATAAGATAGCATCATGAGCAGAGGAAGAACAAATGGCTTTGTTTAAATAGTGGCCTCTCTTGCAATAACATCTGTTTGGTTCCAGTGAGGATGCTGCATTGCAACCACTGAAAACTTTGAGACTTCTGTCAAAAAAGCACTGATCACGCTGTTTCGCACCAAAGTTTTCTTTAAATTGCCTGATCTTAAAGCTATCACCTTGCTTAGCCTTTAGGTTTATAATGGTTCACTGGCTTGAGCTGGCTTTTAGAAAAAAACTTACAGAAATAAGAAACTGAGCTAAATCTTTGACCAGTATGAATCAGCATTACTCTTCTGAATCTGTGAAGCTACTTGCATAGGCATATTATGTGGTCTGTTGTC